GGGTGAGCATATATATATATATCGTGTGTTGCTGAAGATCTTGGTGTATCAGCACATGTTTTTTTTCCAATGGCATAAGCTAGATAAGCAGTTCTGTGGTTCCTCGTTCGTTTACAAAGCTCTGCTCAATGCTCAGAACAAGATGATGGTTCTTATGTTGTTTGCAATATGCGCTTGAACTGTTTGCTATACAGATTGTGCATGAATCATGTCTTTTTGTCTGATTCGATGTCCGTGCCTTTCATGTCTGGAGGTTTTCAAGCACTATTGTAGCTGATAGCCTAGTAGACCTCCGAGGCATTCCAAGATGACCAAAAAGGTTCCATCTCTTGTTGTTCCCAAAAAGGGAAAACTAAATTCTATATAGAAAGGCCCTGCGACCAAGAAGACCAAAGCATGGCAGGTGGTGGAGTCCATCCGTGAGAACGTCGGTATTGGCTCTCGTGGTATACACAAAGAGCAAGTCAAATAGAAACGAAATCTTCTTCAACTACTCATGGCCTCCAACAAGAACATCGTCAAGATGCTAGTGACCGACCGTGTTCTTCCGAATTGGAAGAACAAGACCTGTCCACGATATGAAATAGGACGCCTATCCGAATTGAAACTCCATATTCCCAACGGGCAATACAAGCATCGATGCTCCTCGCGCGCTTGCCATATTTGGATCAGCCCGCACCACCTGCATCCTCTCTTTACTGACGGACGAGGAACAGGAGCGCAGAATTTGCAAATATAGAATAATCTTCTCCATATATTTTTGCGGATTCCCTATCCTTCCATTTATCTTCTTCTGGATATCAATCACAAAGCCATCGAAGATATGGAAAAGCGTCTTTCTGAACTCCGGCGGGTTTTCATAGAAAAGAAAGAGAAGAAGATCCTCTTTGGAGATGGCAAAACTTGGAAAGATATCGAAGCAGAAACTTAGAATTATATTGATATAAATATACATAAAGATTATTTTGTTTTGTATTTATATAGCACTCTATAGTAAAATCTTAGCACTAGTCCAATTTCGGTAATATCATATAATGCTTCTCTCATAACCGATTTTTTTGATAAGAGATAAGCTGGTCTTATGGCTTTATTCATAATGAGTCCCTGAATAAGACGATATAGGAATATTTCTCAATAGTAATTAGTCATAGGATGAAGCGACCTTCGTCGAGCGCGATATCTCTAACGAGCTCGACTTCAATATCCCATGAAGAATAAGAACACAACCATTATGAGGGAGCAATGGGCTGGGTGTATTCAGAGAGGGCATCAGCAATCTTTGGTATTGCAAAAACTTACTCCCAAGGTCAGCGTGAAGAGGGCCCCAGGTAGAGGAGCTATTCGTCGAATGGAATAGAAATAGATCGGTACGAAGCTATTGTCGGACCGTAATATTATATTGCACTCCGATTCGGCGAAATCGTACAAGCTCGTCATATCGGGGGTCATTTATGATCGTGTAGTCCATTTTCGCAAATACATTAAGAAGAATGGCAAGTTCTCCTGGATCCATCCTAAATACGTTTCCCTTATGAAATATATCCTGCCCAAGAGCAAGAAGACCCTCTCCACGAAATCAGGCACCCAAATAATTAGCAGATGCTAGAGGATCTTGAAAAATCGTATCCAAATCAATCAGCACAGTAATTACGTCTGCTTCGAGCGAAGCTCAGGGCAGTGCAATACGAGTACTAGTACCGTAATATGGATTTGTGGATCAAGGGCGGTGAATTGTGTGCTGATCATATGAAATAGTTCATATAAAGAAAGTGCGAACAGGTATATGATCTCTAGATATTTTGATCCTTTTATATTATTTCGGATATATATCTTATGTGGAGCGGCAACGCTCCGTGATATAAAATCTTATTGGATTTATAGCTAAGTAAAAGGAAATCTTGAATGGATTCGATTATATATATATATATATCATGATATATCATGTGAAGCGGCACCGCCCCGTGAGAGAAATTTATACTTCCAAATTTTCGAGTTTGCAGCTAAATAAAAAAATATTTTTTCTTCAGACATCATAGTTTTCCTGTTTTGAGAGAACCTTCCCGAGCACGCCCTTCAATGAGATATCTCTGGTGCCATGAAATACCCTTATGGGACGTCTCGTATCACTTATATGATATATGGGATGGGCGAATTCATGGACGATTCTTTTACCAGACTAGCTTATATCCTTATCTTATCTTCCTAGAGCTCATACTAGGATTAATGACTCAGGTCCCGATAAGGATAAAGATATCTATGGAGGGCCTGTGCCTTCTGCACCGAGATCACGGGAATGTTTGTTCGATACCTTGCCAGATGGACGCTTACCTACAAATCATATATTTCAGTTGCCTAAGGAAAGTCGGTACTGAAAATCGGAGAACTGCTCTTCAAGCTAACGAGAAATAGCGAAGCGCCATTATCCGAAGAAGATATATTTATGCTGTCTCGTTGATTCTTTGAAAAATTCTGATGCGACAGAATCTCAAATTAAAGCGCGCAATTGTATATTTGAATATGCTCATGATGCAGTAGAATAGTATGGCATATATATCGGTCATATGACAGAGCTTCTGCCGCCGTGATAGCAGAACCATTCATCAGTATCGCGAGTCTAATCTAATTTAGTATTTCTCGGGCCCCCCCGGAGAATTATAAGAGCTTCAAAATCGTTCAATTCCTTCAAATCTTTATCTATGGGAGCAAGATTACGCTTATATATGTCCGCTCAGGTCGCTTGGATTCCATAAAGAAGGATGAGGGTCCTTGCCTTGCTTTATATATCCCTCCTTATTTCGGCCCCTATCAACAGATAAAGAAGTTCTACGGACTTTAAGGGGGGGATAAATAAATATATATATATATACAAAGCTTGCAAAATTCTAATCATTCTTATTTCTTTTGAGAATAGAAGAAATTTAAAATATAAGTTTAATTTCATGCAAAATATTTATATAAAAGAAATGAATATTAATTTTTATATCTCCATTATATCAAATATAATCAAATCAATAAATCATATTTTATCCTAGAAATTTATTTAAAGATTAAAATATGAAGAATCTCTAATTTATAAATCCTTCGGTATCGAATTTTTTACATTTTCAATAATTTAAAAAATAAAATATATCAATATTTAATTATTTTTTAAAGAATCTAATTGTAATAATAAATCGAATTTTCAACTAGACTTAATTTTTTAAATATAAAATCTCTAATTAATTTATAATTAAAGATATTTTATCGATATAGAATTAATTTTTCTCATAAAATATCTTCATTTATTATCTTATATGAAATCTAATCATATAAAAATTATAAAAATATAATTCTAAAATAAAATAATTAAAAAAATAAAAATAGTTCGTCATTCTTAATCAATTTGAAAATTAGGTCATGAATATATCGTATTAGCCAATATCAATCCCGAGAAAGCTCCAGAGTATCTATAATATCAAATATAGAGGTAGATTTCCGCCTAAATCTTCTGATTATGTTTTTTACTTCTGCCTAGATCTATATCTATAAATCTATTTTTCTATCTCTGGAAAATGGTTTAAAAAAAAAATATATATATATATTATATATGGAATCTATCTATATCATGAGGTTTCAAGTGGCTCAACGTGTTTGGCATCTTTTTGCATTCCATTGTAAGTCCACGGGTTTGGATGGTCTTAGCAGCTGTCAAGCTGCAAGCTGCGCGGGCCATGAATTAGTAGAAAACCTGTATGCAAGCGACGACAGATCTTCAATGGGCTTTCCACACATGCCATGAAGTCTTTCGCGCTTGGGGCCACTTAGCAGCGCCATTCGAGCGACAAGCATTCAGTTGGTGTCCTGTGAGGGCGTGGAAGCAACCCAAAGAAACTTGCCGAAATGTATGTATCCTGCACATGCTAGTAGCTAGCATCCGCAAAGGCAGTGACGCAAGTGGGTATGTTACCTGACAGTCTACATTCTGATAATATACGCCTATACAGCCTATACTAACGTTAACCTACCCAAAACCGCATACACACCTGCAGTCCATGCTGAGGGGCTGACCACGCAGCACAAAACCACACGGCTCAAGTGTTGAAACTCACTGACAGCCTTCTACACACGAAGATTATGTGCGTTCATATTCACGATGGCTTCCTTGGTGGGCCGTGTCGGTTCGAAACCACCAGAAGCCTGCCTGCGCAGGCCTAAGCATGTCGGAGCCGTGAAAGAGATTCGCACTGGGAGTGTGGCTCTTTGATCACACAAAAGGGACGCTCATGAACAAACAAGTTTGTATGGACTTTCAACGCAGCCTCCGACACAACTAGACGAAGAAGCTGGGCTCAGAGGAAGCTTCTCTGAAGACTCTGCTGGGTGGATCTTGAATGGGCGAGCACTCTTCCTGGTGGGAACAGTCTGCTGCCACAGGGCTTTTGCCAAGGCAGCAAGGGCTACTGAGTCGGCCATCTGCACGAAAGCGTAGCCCTTGCACTTTGCTGGGCTTGTCTTGGGCATCTCAAGGACAAAGTCGTCGGTCGTTTGGGTGCTGAGATAAACTCGAAGCTCCAGCTCTGTGCAGCGTGCAGGGACGTTCCGGATCATCATCTTCGTGCAGGAGAGCCACTCCAGGCTGTCCGGGTGCAAGCCGAACTCCTCCGACCCTTAGATCACAAGCCCAATACCCTCTAGAGACCCACCAAGTCTAGTCCTAGCGATCTCCCTTCCCCAAGCCACTCATAAGAGCCTGTCGCCAACCTGAAGGGCAGCAACTTAAAGTCAAGTGTATCCAGGCACCTTCAAACTTTTGCCCGAAGCCGTGGGTTCCATGTGTCTAGGCTGCATCCAAGTTGCAAAAGCCGCACTTCTGAGTGAACTTCTGAGGTTGAGTTAGCTTCTGAGGTTGAAGGGCGCCCACCACCTCCCATCTCAAAGCTTCAGGTTTCGTGGTGCATGACTGCCACAGCTCTTCTTCCTGCCACCTTACGACCCTGTGGCGAAGACTCATGGCATAGCTTCTTTCTCGAAGGCATAAGGTGCTCAATCCGTTACCCCGAAACCTGCCTTCGGCAGAGATGGCAGAGTGACAGGAGCCACCTGCGAGAAACATCTTGCAAGGGCTTGGCTTGATGTTGAATAACCGGAACCACAACAGCACTGTGAGTACAATGTCGTAGTATAGTATGATTGGAGCACGCAGTGTGGCATACACCTTGAGCTCCGGATAGAATAGAGACCCCAACATGAACCCAAACTACTGTGAGTTGTCAAATTGTAGAACTCTTAGTGCGCGATTTTGGAAAAACCCTCCACTCTGGTGGCCAGGAGTAAGTCTCAAAGCAAAGCCGAAAAGACCTCTAAAAAACCCTGTAAAACCCCAAACAAATCCGAACCCTGAAACCCTAAAGCCCGAAAAACCGACACCCCTCGCCACCCCCCGCCATGCTCCCCCGCCTCCAAAGCTTTGAGAAGCTGGAGCTGCAGGCTCGGAGTCTCCATGTGCTCCAGTCCTCGCAAGCGCTCGTCCAAGGCTTCGGCTTTCGGGGTTTGCTTAAGGGATTTAGGGTTTAGGGGTTTAGGGTTTAGGGTTTCGGGTTTAGGGTCTAAAGGCTTTCGCCAGCGTGTAACAAGGGCTACAGAAGGGTCTTTGGGGTTGTAAGTTGCAAATATCGTAATTGGGTCGGGGGCTTGGCATGTTTAGTCAGGTCTCTGGGTTGGAGGAGGCGAAATAAGTAAAGCGTTGGAGTTTGGAGTTGCAGTGGCATTGTTGGCTGTGCAAGGTTTTTGGGGCCCGTGTGCATGTATGCATTGATGGATGCATGGATGCCTGAAAGTATGGATGCCTGTATGTATGTACGTGTGTTGACATACACGTAGCGGCATAACACAGATATACGGTGCTCCAATGCTCCACCAACGCAGAAGGCGACACTAAAATGGACTTGGTTTTCCTTCGATGCTCTTTACACACGCACACAAACAGACAATGAAGCATTTGTCTCGCCGCGACCCTTGCAAGCTCTCAGAGAATCCCTGAAAAGTTTCATCCTCACAGCAGCACCCCAACTCCATACAACCGAGAACACAACGCCCCGAGCAAACCGTGAAGGCCTACGTTCATCCCTGAGATTCAAGACAAAGCGGCCTGGAGGTGGGCGAACAGCTCCGAGGTGCGACCACGATGGAAGCATGAGGAACTGTGCTTCCTGGGCTAGGACTGTGGTGGGACTTACGAAGCGTTCTTTCCCATCGGCCCTGCTGACAGTGTCGCACCACAGGGAAATCCGTCCGAACTGAGAAACGAACAAAGCAGTAGGGGATCCTTGGGCTCCTCGTCTACGAGGTGTTTTTTGTCTAGGGTTTTCATGCAGGGCTTTTTGAGTTCAGAGTCCAGTCTACGGGTCATTCAGTACTTCTGCTGAGTCCTACCGGGGGTAAAGAGGCTGAACCCATCACAACCTGTTTCGGGCGGCTTTGTTGGCGGTAGCCATGGTGGGATTAGCAGTCATGGTCGTGGTCGTGGTCGAAGCAGCATCAACAGCAGCAGTAGTAGTAGCCGGAGCAGTGGCCATATTTCTGGCACTGAGACTATAGCAGCAGTGGACATAGATGTGAAAGCAGACATAGAAGCAGAAGTATAAGCAGCAGCAGCAGCAGCAGCAG